AATTAGTGTACTGGAGCTCCATATTGGAAATTATCAACACATATGTTGAACCAAAGGATAAGAGCGGGATGGAAGAGGCCGGTACCCGCATGGGTAGCTCAGTTGGTCGAGTGATGGGAGATTTGGATCAATGGACCATGGTTCGAATCCCCGCAGCGACCGAGTGCAGGTCACAGAACCTGAAATAAGGCTGGGCCTCTGGTGCGCACGGGTGTATGGGTGTACTGTCATTCTGCTGACTGAGTCATCGTGACTAACCTCTCCACCATCCTGTCGGATCGGGATAGAGAGCTCTTGGGGTGGGAGATTCCACCTTTTGGATCAATGACGGAAGAGGCCGGTACAGTTTTTTTTTGGAAAGAAAGAAGAGGCCGGTACAGTTAAGATCATTAAGACTTCTAATAATAAGATGTGCGTTACGGATGATATATGATTAATATGCAGTAATTTATGCACTTGGTTTGGTTTTTTACAACTCATGCATGAGGTGTCAAGTCTTGCTTGGTTTTTTACTACTCATGTTACATTACTTACATAATATGGTCATGCTATGATGAAGTCAAAAGAAAGTCATACACATTACACACACTAGCTAGTAAATGCATATTCATTTCAAAAATATGCACACACAAATGGATAACACACACTAGCTAGTACACATTATTATATAATTGTAGATGATGTAATGAGTCCATATATAATGTTGACAGTTTCCACTAATTTGAGATAAAGATCAGTTTACCGGACTTCGGATATATTTTTTATCTACTGTGTACATTGGGGAGGTATTCATCATGGACATTTTTAATTAATCATGCCCATTTACGAGAATAAAAGACTTAATTATAGTGAAGCACGTTGTGATCTGATCTGATGACATCACTGATGATCTTCTAAAGAGAAAGTCACAAGTTCAAGTCTCATCATCTCAATCAAGGATGTTGGCAATAACACGAGCAAATACTATAATAAGAGAAAAAAAAGCAGATACTATGATATAGGTTTAGAAGAATATTCCAATAAAAAGAAGAAAAAAGATTTAACTATAAACATGGTAAAAATGTGAAAGTTTTAATTTCAAACATGAGTGTTATATATTTTTCTTTAAATAAGAAAAATTAACATCATTATCAAATCATACTACGCCTTATTTGGCATTTCCACACATCCATAGGATAGTTTTACTGTCACAATTGACAATATTTTTAATCATGACAGTTATTATTTCAATATAAGAATGACATAATACTCGTATTTTGAAACTTCACATTATTTTTATCTCTATTGACGATAAATTCAATTAGTCTAGAATTATATCAATAAACGTAATAATGGCTAAGCCATTTGGAATGTAATGCACCTCTCCTAATTTTTTTTAAATGGAAAGGCCCAAAGGCTGTACTAAAACAAAGTATCACTTATGTCCTATAATGTAAGATAAATGTGAGTCTGGTGCGAGATTTAAGTAAAAAATGATAAATTAAAGTTATTGTTTTACAATTCCAATATCCAAAAAGTATAAAAGAGTAAGACAAGTTCACAAAAATTTAAAAATGCAATGATTGATAGATAAAAGGATAAGTAGGGAAGTAAAAAGTTGGTGGAGTTAAGTATATAATTAAGTATATAATTAAAAGCGTTCATGCATATTTTCATGGGCGGATCTATGTAGGGCCTAGGGTGGGCTCTAGCCCAGCCCAACCGAATTTTTTTTGTTAGTATAAAAAGAGATTTAATTTTCAGCCCACCCCAAGTCCACAAGGAAGTGTTCTAAGAAGCTCTAAAAGCAAAAGGCTGTTCAAACTTTGTTTAAAGCCCATAGTCATGGGAACAAATGATCCCGAGAACAAATGATCCCGAGAACAAATAATCCCGATGCGTAATAATAGAGTTTGACGTGATTGCACCAAGAAGTGATTTATATATAGGACACTCAGGAGGGTGAACCATCCTTGCAGTCGGTGTGGGATAAATTGAGGAGCAAAACTTTACATACGAAGTATTAAACAATCGTATGTAGTTGGTGTTTGGAGCCAGCTGCAAATTATGCAATCTCATCTCACCCACTCACCCACACCATCAATGAAAGCACTTTATATTACAAGTTTACAATATTATTTCACAACATAAATTGTATGATTAATATTATATTATTATTATAATACTGTTATTATTATATGAATATTACTATTATTTGACCCAAGTCACCATGAAAAACTTTTATAAGCATTAAAATTTAAACATAATTATAATCATTAAAATAACTAAGTTACTCTTTATCAACTATCCTTATTTGGTCATATACTATTTCTATTATTATTATTATTATTATTAAAATTATTATTATTATTATTAATAAAATTATAATAGTTTTATTAGTGCATTAGTTTTATTTAATAGTTATGTAATTCTATTTGACTATTAATTTAATTTATGCTAAAACTCGGCTTGAATAAAATAGATATTTGAACTCTATTTTTTAGTGTTCAAATATATTTAAAAAATTGCAATGAAAATGTTTAAATTTTAAGATAAATAAAATTTATTTCTATAATTTACGAGTTATTGATAGACTCGAGTCCGGATCAAACCGAATACCACTATGCTCGAACTCAGCTTGAACAACTACTCGAACTCAAAATCTAGCTCGTGTTCGAGTTAAAAAAAGCTTCTTAAGCTCAGATCACTAAATTAAATTCGAAATCACGCTCGAATTCGTGTAGTTCGAAAAAAACTCAATTCGATTACGGTCCTAAGCAGCCTAAGCTATACTTTTTGTTTGCAATAACAATTTTTTCCCTGCTAAGCCCACCTCACTCTTCATTCCTGGATCCGCCCCTGCATATTTTTGAAACAATCCACAAGGGAAAGTGTATCATACATAGTGGGACGAAGAAAGTATCGTATAAGTACATTTACTTTGAAATATCAATCAATAAAATCCGACCATTTAACTGGTCTTTAACCTATTATAGTCGGTTTTGTTTTTGGCAAAAAATCTAAAAGATTTATAAAATTCGAAAATCGAAATAAAACTGTAAGAATTTAAGAATGTCAAATCCATATTTTTTGCAGTTTTGGCCAATTTGTATGTTCTACGTTTTTCAAAAGTTTGTACATTATATTTTTATAGTTTATATATTTTTACTATATTTTTTTATTTTTTATTTGTTGATTTGTATTTTAACGTTTTTAAATTATCGATCTATTTTGATATTTTTTAGTACTGATTAAAATTATTTCTCTTTTTCAAATTCATAAAAATTTTTGTAAAATTTATCAATTGTTTCTATTTAATTTTTGAAAGATAGTCTCCTACAATAAGTCATGATGGTAGGACTCATTTTGTTTTCAAAGTGCCATATGGATGCATCTCCAATAAAAAGAGGGTTTCTGTGAAAAGTGTGAAAGGTTGCTGATAAATGCTACGGAGTATTTAGTATGGTAAATGCTATTTAGTATTGCATAAACACCACATTTTAGATTGTTTTACATTATGGTTACTCATCTTTTGCACAATTATGTTGAAATTTTTATCTTCTAAATTAGACTAGAATTAGAAGATTTAACTTTTAAGGGTCATGTAAGACTATGTTTGGCACAATTAGCTGTAGCTCGAGGCTGTTGTCTGAATTATGGACTATTGTCTGAATCAGAGACTATTTTCTGGAGCTAAATATTGAAGTGCTGAATCTGAACTTTTAACTGGATGAGGTAGACCTGTTTGGCAAAAAGACACTACTACATTTTTAGACCTAATGTAACATTAGAGATGTAACATATCTATAATAGTGTTACCTATTTCTCTAATGCAACACTTTTTAGACCTAGTGTAACACTTTCTAGAAATATAAGTGTTACATTAGGTACTATAAAGTGTTACAATAGGTCAAATGCAACACCAGCAAATGTAATGGTAAAAAAATGTTACATTTTCTCTAATGTAACACTTTTCAGAGAAAATGTAACATTGTTTTTATCCATGGAACTGGACCGTACCGGACCGTTAAAAATCTCACGGATACATTACGGGTTTTACCAATTTACCGGACCGTTCCGGACCGCGACCACCCCTAGTAAATTCTACTATTTTGACACTGTTTGGGCACTGTTTGGTACCGTTTTGATGTAGATAATTTGACAAATGAGGAAATGTAGGGAAGTGTGAATTTAATTATGGGACTGCCCAAAAAGGAAAGTGAGAACTTAATTGGGGGACGGAGAGAGAGTATTTTTTAGTGTTTGCATAAAGATGTGGTTTATTTACCAAAGTGTGACTGCACTTTTGATCAAATCTGATGCACTGTTAGCTCATTTTAAATTATTAGATGTCAAATTAAATGCACAAGATCAATTATCATTTTTCATGAGAGGTACATTTTCTATTTGATTCAAATACATGTGTGTGTATGTGTGTATAAAAAAGTGTGTGTGTGTGTATATAGAGCTTTTTGAAATCAATTTTTCTATTCCGGTAAAAATAAGAACTAATTTTGACTATAGATGTGAAAAAATTGATGAAACGGTGGAAGTAATCAGATTTTAAGTAAGATATGTGGTGATATTTTAATAATCATGTACAATCTTATTAAACAAAAAGTATATATATATGTAAAAGAAAACGTGGATCAAAATATATGAAAAACTCTAATAAGTATTCATTAACCAAATCACGACTATTTACTAACAAAATCATAATTATATGTGTAAATACATTCACATGCATTTATTTGTTTCCATACGGTGTAGAGTTGTATTAGGAGAGTATATATCTCTTGCTCTCCAATAGTTATTGTAGATATTCGCATTCCATCAATACACAACTATCCAAATATGAAATGTGCTATCTAGTGCAACCATAGGTCCATCCACATTAGCCATGGATAGAACACAATAAATTTCACTTTTATGTTTAAGCATGGACCCACACTAGCCAAGTGTTATCGTCTTTCCAACAAGTATTTATAGGGTAGCCAGGCCAGGACTTGCATACTAAATTAGTTTTCTTTCTCAGAACTGGATGGATATTACAATAAAAACGATGCTTTCCCTTTCTGTAATACTGGTTTCTTGGCTGCTGCTTCTTCTTGATCCATCAATTGCCCAAAGCTATTCCCAACAAGATGCATCAGATGATGACTCATCATCATCACTGCTGAAAGCCGCAGCTAAGGATCTTGTGACTGATAAACTGCCTGGCCAGCCTGCGGCAGTTGGCTTCAAACATTACGCTGGGTATGTGACAGTCAACGAGACTAACGGAAGATCACTCTTCTACTGGTTTTTTGAATCTTCCACATCTCCTCAACAGAAACCTCTACTTCTCTGGCTTAATGGAGGTAATAAGACTTTATTAATTAGTGTATATATTATCCCAAGTCCAACCAGCTAGTGACATGCATGTCACAATTTATAGTACTGCTGCATATACATGCACGTGAAATAATAATGTGACTTTCATGCATGTGAACATTCATAAGGAAATATACATTCAAATTAAAAATTACCCTTGTATGAATATATGATATATGTGTGTAATTTCATTAAACTTTTCCTTGGTCAACTTGCACAAACCCTTTCATTTTTAATAAGAAATTATATTGATCGAAATAGAATTGAAGTAGAGGGCACTTCATATTAGGCCGTCCTGACAGGACCTGTCGTCCGGTCAAGGCTATTCAGGGTTATTTCCCGGTGGAATTTTTTATGAATTTTTTTGAACATGTTATTCATGTTTGTTGAAATTCAATCGGATAGTCAATCAAAAAGGAGTATTTTTGTTTAAATTTATCTTAAAATAAAGTTGTACTTTATATATCCATCTTTAATATCAAGGGGGATAAAACTAATTCAAGAAATTAATTTAAAAGTGAATGGTCCTATTTTGAAATAATTATAATTCTTGTGCTATATGTGAAGAAATATGTTCTGTTCTTAGTACATTAGGAGGGGCCATGCTTGACGGAAGAAATTTCTCATGTTTGATCGGATAAAAAAGTGTTTGGACCGTTTTCGTTTTTCTACAACCCAAATGACTCAACACAGTCTTTTGACCAAAAATGAGAGGCTAAGGCATTATATTCTTAATTAAGAATATATGTTCATCATGTGGCATTCTCTTTCCTCGTAGACAATTAATCCCATGATATCATCAACTTGACCTAATTAAACCTGAAAAGTCAATTTGTCAAACTTTTTCGAGACGAAGGGAGTATTATTTAATAAATGTGCAGTGTTAGTATTATCAGCTTCTCGTTAAATTTCTGAGTAAAAAAAGGTTTTAATTCGTGTGTATACCTCTTTGTTTTAAGGTCCGGGATGTTCGTCCGTAGGATATGGAGCATCTCAAGAGATCGGCCCTTTCCTTATTGACGGTAACGGAAGTCGCTTGGCAATCAATCCATACTCATGGAATATAGGTGTGTTTAATATTATTGAAAATCTTTCATGAATAATATTATTACTCCGTAAAGGAATAAAACCATTTACAAGTTCTCATTTTAGGATTAATTAAAGAGGTTTGATTTTAGGAAAAAAATTGTTATTTTGTACTACGTATATTGATACTTAATTGATGACCTGAATTAAAAAGGTAAATACATAGCGCAGCATTAGTTTTATACGAGACCTAAACAGGCGTCCACAAATCAAATTAGACTGACCAAACTTAGACAATAGTAATAATAATAATAAAATACACAAACACTAAACATATACCCAAACAGAATTAAACATACATGAACACACTTAAACACATTAGATCAAACCAAATTAGGTTGGACCATAATAAAGTATTCCAATCTAAGTGAAAAGATCTTTTAAATATACTGTATGTATATGTATGTATATAGGGTGAGACTCAAATGAGAAGAAATCTTTAGGTGAGAAATGAGAATGAATCTCAGTCATTGGATTCGACTATTTTGTTGTAAAAACACTTTATATTGCATTAAAATATGCAACCTAGTTTGATGACATCTTCTGAAAAACTGTATTACGGTTCTCTAGTGCAACATGAAGCAGTTTTGGTGCAACTTCATCAAATATTAGTACAACATGAAACAACTTTAGTGCAACGTTGGAAAATTTAAAGGAAAAATTGAAAATAATAATCCCAACTAGCGAGTATTTCTGGGTGATCCCAACTATAGTGACCATTTTCCAAAAATTATCCCTAACCTGTTACAACCTGCTATAGCAGGTATGTTTTAAATGTGAACTTTGTAAGATTTAAATAATCCCAACTATGCTTGACCTTTTTTATTAATCTCAACTACCAACTTCAAAAAATTGAGTTGATAGTTGGAATTAATAAAACAGGATTAACTATAGTTGGGATTATTTAAAACATAGACATAGTTCACATTTAAAAATTACTTGCTATACCAGGTTGTAGCAGGTTAGGGACCATTTTTGGAAAATGATCCCTATAGTTGGGAACATCCATGAATAATCGATGGTTGGGATTATTAATGACGGAGCGGTAATAGTTGGGATTATTATTTTCAATTTTTCCAAATTAAAATCTTACTGCTACATGAAGCTATTTTTTGAGCGATATCGTAAATCTAACGGTTGAGACTCATTCTCATTTCTCACATTAGATGCATTTCTCACTTGAACCAAAATTTATATATCTATATACGTACATATCTTTTATTTTTAAAACAATGAACTCGCACATACTAATAGAAAAAATTCCTCAATTCAGAGTAAATTATGACAAAATTTCTTAGATAGGAATAAGTATGTTTCCTTCTCAAGTAGGAAACATTGAGATATGATATTTTTTCTTGAGCAAATTTGGGATATGACAATTCCATCCTATTTTTTTTTTCAAAGTCCATTCCATATTATTCAAGTAAAAAATATAATTACTCCTATTATAAAATGACTTACTCTGATTATGAGCAATTTCTTTAACATATTGTTCTAATACATGCAGAAGCGAACATATTGTTCTTGGAATCTCCAATCGGTGTAGGCTTCTCATATACAAATACGAGTACTGACTATGTGAAGCTAGGAGACAAACTTGCTAGTATGTACATACATCTATCCAGCAGTATATATTACTCTGTAACACACACACACATATTAATATATTTGTTCAAAAAGCTACAAGGGTATATTTGTCCAACATATGATTAGTCTTATTTAGGGAAATTAAAACAATGTAGTTTTATTTGTAATTTTAATCACGCTTACCCCTATTTATGTGATTCACTCATATTTCAAGAATTAGCAAATCTTTTAATCTTACTTCTAATAATTTTCTCATAGATTTACTTTGTTCTTTAATAGTTGCAACATTGAAATTCTTGCATCATTAGTGCAACATGATTTTCGACTAATATATATAAAAAATTATTACTCATAAAACCTTACGAGTATTAAATTTCTATGAATGTGAATTTTCAAAATATTAACTTTTTATAACGTTTACTAATACGTAATTAAATATAATTCCAGTCAAAGTTGTGCATTGAAAAACGTGAAAATCAAACTATTGCATTTAAAAAAGAACGGAGGTAGTATATACTGGGTGGTACTCATCATTTACGTAGTATGAATCTTGTATATATGGTAAAACTAATTTAAAATAGTATATTGTCCATATATATGTGCATTGCTTATGACTATTAATACACATAAATACTTTGTATATAGCAAGCGATGCATACACTTTTCTGAACAATTGGTTCCAGAAGTTCCCAACTTATAGAAATCAATCCTTCTATATAGGTGGGGAGAGTTATGCAGGTATGTAGTTAATTAAGTTAAATTATTTAATTAGTGTAATGATTGTACCTAATTACTTTCAACTATGATATGATCGATTTGATGATGTTGGAGTTGAGAATTACAGGAAAATATATACCTGAGTTGGCTGATCTCATTGTTGGAAAAAACAAAGACCCTTCTAATACTCTTCACATTCAGCTTAAAGGAATAATGGTATTAATATACTCTCTCTGTCCTAAGTTATGTAGAACTTTCTTTTTAGGCCTTTTAAGGGGAACATCAATATATACTCTCTCCTTCCTGAAAAGGTTACCATCATTGATCAAGAAAAGTCAATATGGCGAACCTTTTCGGGACGGAGGTAGTATTTCATACATGTATGCATGAACCTCAATTTAAGGAATCTTTTAAGATAAGTTGTAATTCGAAATCTTATACATACTCTGTTTTTGTAAATGTGGGGTTTGTCGGGGCTAAGGATGTTTGTACTTGGACTGTAATTCGTCCCAGACCAGACCAGACCAGACCACACCAAATCAGACCAGACCAGACCATACCAGACTTGGATAGTTATAAAAATAAAAAGAAACCAGACCAGACCAGACCAGACCAGACCAGACCAGACCAGACCAGACCAGACCAGACCAGATCAGATCAGACCAGATCAGAACAGACCAGACCAGCAAATTACAGTCCAAGTAAAAACATCCTAACATGACCCCTACCTCTACCTTTGGAGTAAATATACATACCCACCCAGTGGCATATACTCTAAATTTAAACAAATTGCATATAATAGATTGGAGGAAAGCATTGACAAAGTTTTGAAATAGACTTGGCTTGATTCTAATTAGGGGAAGAAAACAATATAATTAATCCTATTTAATCGAGAAGTTATTCCATATTTTATTCATATTTAGAAAAATTTCTCATTTAACATGTGGGTCGAGATATCCAAACCCCTCAATTATATATCGGTTAGTTAATAAATAGTATATCAAATTTATTGGTACCAAATACTCCCTCCGTCCCGAAAAGGTTCGCTAAATTGACTTTTCTTGGTCAATGACAATCAAATATGACCAATGATATTTTTTAATACGTAAGAGCATGCATGCAGATGGGCAACCCAGAGACAAATGATGCAGAGGACTGGAGGGGTATAGTGGATTATACTTGGAGCCATGCTATAATCTCAGATGAAACCTACAAAATAGTGAAAGATAATTGTGATTTTAATAGCTCTGATTTGTGGAGCAATAAGACCTGTGGTGATGCTTTAGATGAGATGTATAAGCAGTACCATGAGATAGATATTTACAGCATCTATACACCCAAATGCTTAAAGAGTGTCAATTCATCATCCCAAGTCACTTTCACCGCTTCATCATCATCGCCCAAGAAGGTACGGTATACTTACATCCATATGTATTTAATACACGATCTCCTTTGTCACAATTTTAATTGTCTTACTTTTCTTTTTGGATTCTTACGACATGAATATCGAGCCTGTTTGATAGCTCAATTTTTTGGTTATGAAGCGTATCCGTCAATTTTTTTACCAAACACGTACTATCCTCTGTTCCATAAAAGTTGCAAAAGTTTGACTTTCACGTTTACCAACGCGCACCTTTGACTGTATTTATATTTATTTACGTATTACTAAACATTAAAAAAAGTTAATATATTGGAAATTTACATTAATACAAATTTATTAATATTTAAACATAATATTTTTATTATATATATTATTAGAAAATCGTAGTCAAAGTAAGGTGTGTGAATAGTGCAGAAATTCCAATGTTGCAACTTTTATGGAACGGAGGAAGTAATTTTTTATTTGGTGCATTGAATTGCGTAATACTAAGAAAAAGTAAGGTAGGAGTTACTTTTTTGTTGTATTGACCGAAGTTGTTGTAGAGGACTATTTTAAGTATTTTTACATATATTGTTTTCTTTATTTATTGATAAAATATATTTTAAATATCTTTTTAATAAATCAGCAGAATCAATCAAATCTACCACTTCACTAGAATTTCACAAATTTCGGGCAGATCAGCGGATTCAATCAATTTTTATATTACCAAATAAGCTCATCGTGTTTCAAAAAACATGTGGTCATTATTATTTCACTGTATTGTACTCAAAATCTCAAAAACCTTATTTTCAATAGAAATTAGTTCAAATAGGACTAAAACTATGGCAAAAACCTAAAATAGGACTTGCTATGTTTTTATTCCAAAATAGGACCATATGAGTCCTATTGGAAACATACCTATTTTTGCATTCCATTCTTACCCTTCCATTAAATATGAATTAAAAATAGTCAAAAGCCATAATTAAATATTTAATTCATAATAAATTCGAAAAAAAATTAAAAAATTCGTAGAAATATAAGTAAAAAATTTATAAAAATTTTATAAAAAAAAATTCATTTTTTTAAAATAATTTTATTTTTAAAAAATTAATAAAAATAGTAAAACTCCGTAAAAAAAAATTAAAAAAATATGGATGCCTTTCCCACCGCCTGTACTACCTCCCAGCACCACCACCTCCGGCCGATGAAAAAAATGCCATTTTCCCAGAAAAATGCCATTTTTTCTGAAAATGCCAAAAAAGTGGCATATTTCTCTTTTCGAATGCCAACATTTTCATTTTTTCTGCCATAAATATGGCATTCGTAATGAACTTGGCATTTTTTCCCCTGGTGACTGGAGGTGGTGGTGCTAAGGCGGCAGAGGCGGCGGCGATTTTTTTTTTGAGTTTTTATTTTTTTTTTTAATTTTTTTTAATTTTTTTAATTTTTTGAAAAAAAAATTAATTAAATTTTTAATGTCAAAATGTTTTTCTTAATTTTTTAGTATTTTTTACGAATTTTTATTATTTTCTATTATTTTATTAGGAATTAAAACATTTTAATAGCTATAAGGTTATAATTGTCCAAGGTACACATAATTAGTCCTATGCAAACATAGTTTATTTTTTGCTCCTATTTGTGAAAAGTGAATGACTTTTAGTCCTATTTTGATAATTAACTCATCTTCCCCCTTTTAGCAAAAAATTTGTGGTTCACAACCATTCTTACACATTCTTACACATTTCTCTCTCCTCTGCACAACTCTCCACCACACAAATCCCACTATCTTAATAAATGTGCCCAGCCGAAAAGGGAGAAAGATTAGGGACGGAGGGAGTACCAAATAAGCTCATCGTGTTTCAAAAAACATGTGGTCATTATTCTTTCACTATATTGTACTCAAAATCTCAAAAACCTTATTTTCAATCATTTATTAGTAATTGTGTCGGACTAAACCTAGACAATGCATCCGATTAGGAAAGAGGTGATATTTCACATCTCATTAATTCTGAAATAAAATTGAATCTAGGGCTAACTATAATGCGCCATTTCCATTTTCCATCCCGGCCCACGATCTGCTTATTATATATTCCTTCCATCTTAATATGATTAGACCATTTGCAGATAGTAACCATGGGGCGAAAGAACTGAATTTGAATTATATATTCACCCAAAAGTTTTTTACAATCATGAAAGAATTGGTTAAAGAAAGGGTGGGAAATGATTAATCGGGGCAGCTGCTAGCCCGCTAACATGATCACGATAATGGCCACTCAGGTTAAATATCTTTATATATTCTCCGAATTTTTTATAATGTAATAACCTTTTCATTTTCATTTACTGTCCGTTGGTTATAACAAAATATCAAAATTCATATTATAAAATATATCAAAATCCATAACTTTTAATGATAATTCATATGATATCAAGATTCGACTATTTCAGTTTTTTGGCCATAATATTTCTTAGATAGATTCAAACGATAAAATTAAGATGTCATGGTTATAGTACATTTTAAAAGTTATCAATTACTTTTTCAAAGAAGAAAACACCAAATTTATTTATTTCTACATGAGATAAATTATTGATAAAAAGGATGTATAATAACAAAAGTAAGAATTTAAGTTAAAAGATCGTGTTGAGTTAATCTATTGGTGGCCGGCGCTGGATTGTAGGTAAAATTGAGTTGACGTAGCCAATACACAATTTTCGTATAAACTGGTCGAGAATTTAATTTATCAAAAGAACATGATTGGGAGTGGCCTTACAATATACTCTCTCCGTTCTTTTTTAGTTGCAACGGTCAACATTTCAAATTTTCCAACGCACGTCTTTGATCATAAATCATAATTATATCTTAATTCTATTAGTAAAAATATTAAAAATCAGATTTTGAAAATTTTTAATGAGATGAATTGAAAAATATTTTTTTTAAAATAATTTTCATAAAATAATAGCGTAAAATTTAGTCAAAGTAGAGCATGTGAATAGTGTAAAATTTAACATATTGCGATTAAAACAGAACGGAGGATAGTACTTGACTAGGTGTACAATAATTGGTTGATTGTTGAAAAATATTATTTGTCCATGGTGAATAACTATATTGTGTTTTTCTTCCTAACTAACTACAGAGTATATTAAAATTTACCGATTAGTCAGGGGCGGACCATAGTAGAGATCCAGGGGGGCTACCACCCCCCAACAAAAAAAAATTATTGTATATATATATATATATATATATATATATATACGAAAAATAATTTTCACCCTCCCAAAAAATATTTTGAAACCCCCCAAACAAATATTTTCGCCCCCCAAGATGACTTTCCTGAGTCCGTCCCTACGATTAGTATTATTATTATACTACCTTTGTCACTTAAAACCTTACCAAAGTTGACCGGCACGGAGAATAATAAATTAAAAACTGTGTGGTTGAGGTTTGTGCAGTGGAGAGATAAATAACACAAACAACAAAATAATTGATTAAAAGAGAAAGTGACAAAGTTTTAAGGGACGAAGGGAGTATAATATTACTATAATATAATACTAATAAATTTATTAAAAATCAGGAGGTCCATATTATATTAGGATGTTTTCTTTTGGAATGTTTTTAGTCCCAGACCAGACCATACTTGGACAATTATAAAATACATAGAGATTAGACCATATCAACCCAGACTTAAATGGGCCAAACCAAACCAGCAAATTACGGTCCAAAAGAAAATATCATTACTATATAATATATATATATATATATACACTCCCTCCATCCCGTTGGAATGTTCCCGTTCGGTTTACGGTGTTTGACTAACGATAAAGCAACTTGATCCATGTTCACACTCCGCTTATTTTTGGTAAATAAAATTTACATATTCAGAAACTACTTTAAAACCGCTACAAAGCCTGATCAAGAAAAGTTCAATTTGATAAAAAATTGATATATAAAGTAAAAGATTAGGAGTGACCTAAGTTGAACGATGAATAGTGAACGGGAACATTCCAACGGGACGGAGAGAGTATATATATATATATATATATATATATATATATATATATATATATATATATATGTATATATATATATATATATATGTATATATATACATATATATACATATATATATATATATATGTATATATATACATATATATACATATATATATGTATATGTATATCTATACATATATATACATATATATATGTATATGTATATCTATACATATATATACATATATATATATATATGTATAGATATACATATATATACATATATATATATACATATATATATATATACATATATATATAATGCATGCGTATATTAATATTGATTTTCTAGGTTCCAAAACGACGATATGGAAGCGGATTTGACCCGTGTCTAGATGATTACACCACCTCTTATTACAATAGAGGAGATGTCCAAAAGACCCTCCATGCAAGTGATGGTCTACACGTTAAAAAGTGGAGTATTTGCAAGTATGTAGAATAATTTAATTAATACACATGCAAATATCAACTTAATATAATTACTTTTCCCATGTCTTCATTAACCAAGAGAAATACGAACAAGCTTAAAAAGTAAACATTAAGAACTGATATATACTGCATCCATGCAGTGACTCGATCTTCAACAAGTGGGACTGGGAGCAATCACCACAATCTGTTCTGCCCATATATCGAAATCTCATGGCGGCAGGAATTAAAATATGGGTCTACAGGTAACTAAATACATTTATAAAAAAACACAATATTCTTTAAATAAGACTTGTTTAGTACTATTAAAAGAATAAGTTGATTAAAACTTCTTCAAATAAGTTGATAATCATATTTATGAAATTAATCTTTGTTTTAGTCTGAATTTTCTCTTATTTAATTTTAAGCCCTTAATATAGGAGAGTTTTCTTTAAAGAGTCCGATTTCGGCCCAATGGGGCCATTGGACCGATAGGCAATGGGGAATAGAAGAGGGCCGGGAACAAAGGGCCAATGTGCCATTGCCCCATTCTTAATGTAGTTTGAATGTTCTTCCACTAAAAAATGTTACATACGAGTAGTTTAATAAACAAATTATTATATCCGCACGGGTAGCTCAGTTGGTCGAGTGGTGAGAGATTTGGAACAATGGACCAAGGTTCGAATCCCCGCAGTGATCGGGTGGAGGTCACAGAACCTGAAATAAGGCTGGACCTCTGGTGTGCACGGGTGTATAGGCCTACTGTCATTCTGCTGACTGAGTCACCGTGACTAACCTCCCCACCATCCTGTCGGGTCGGGGTGGGGGCTCCTGGGTGGGAGATTCCACCTTTTTTTGGAACAATAAACAAATTATTAAACTCACTACATGGTTAAAGTGGAAATTCGTGCCCTAATGTGTGGTGTTATTTTTGACTAATTCAGTGGAGATGTTGATGGAAGAGTCCCTGTATTATCTACTAGATACAGCATAGGTGCATTGGATCTTCCCGTTACCAAACCATGGCGTCCCTGGTACTATGGAAATCAGGTACGTAATAAATAATTAAATGATAATTTGAACAATTAAATGATTAAGAACTGAGTTTAAAATTTCAATTCACGAATTTTTTTGGCAAAATAAATTTTATTGACATTAATTTTGAACAATTGAGGATGTTTTTACTTGGACTGGTTTTAGTCCCAGACATCATCAGACTTAAACAAATCAGACCGGACTTAAACAGATCAGACCATACCTGATCAAAATTGGCTTCCGTAGTTATAAAATACACAGAGACCAGATGTTTACCAGACCAGACCATACCAGATCAGACTTAAACAGACCGGATCAAACCAGACAAGACTTAAACAGACCAGACCAGATCAGCAAATTACCGTACAAGTGAAAGCATCCTAATTGATTAAGAACTGAGTTTAAAATTTGACTTCACGATTTTTTTTGGAAAAATAATTTTTTATTGACTTTCCAAATATGTCATTCCTCAAAAAGTAAAATAGAAAAATGTAATAATTAAAAATGTATTTTTCATAATGATAAATGGTATTTTACCACTCATGTATTTTTTTAAATGAGAAGTAGAAAATTAAAATAAATTAAATTAAATTGGGGATTATCCAAAAAGGAAAGTGAAAACTTAATTGGGAGGTAAAGGAAGTATAGTCAATATATATACCTGGGTAGTTAACTCGGTCAAACTCCAATTTTCTTGTAGTGAGGGCCGAGTAGCGAGTAGGGTCAATTACTCGGGATTTCTGGGTGATTATTACTCGACCTTGTATTACTTCAATTTATAACATAGGTGGCGAAGATTATAGAAATATATAGTAGTCTTAAAATTGTCTTAAAATTGTCTTAAAATGTATAGAAACGAATGAAATGATAGAAATGCTAATGATGGAGTTGAGTAGCAAAAGTTATAAACATTCCAATGTTCTCAAGAAAATCGATCATCTAATAACTTGGTAGGATCTCTATTATATCCCCATGTCCATCCTATATCATCCAATTTGATTTCAATATAACCCGACCCAAACCGAATATAATGGGCTTTGTTCTGGTCCTTAATTTTCATGACCCGAGATCGTACGGGAAAGGTTTAGCAAAAACTCGACCGAAACCAGACCGATCCCACCCCTAATTGCATTTACAAAATTGACGGGGAAGAGGCGCAAAACCATGAATTTTGGTTAATCCATTTGTTGCTTTAATGCTAAACTTTCTCCAAGAATTGAAGTTACATGGTTTATTCCAATTTAATTGGAAGATTTCCCAAAATAGGAGTAAATGGAGTGAAATTCCAAAATAAGACTACTATGTTTTTATTCTCGAAATAGGACTATCATGTCAGTATTTACGGTCATCTTGTAGGCGTGGCTGTCAAATAGTTGCAGTACAGTGCATTTTATATGGCAGTATTTATTACTCCCTCCGTTTCCATTTGTTTGACACACTTTCCTTTTTTTGATATTTCAAAATGAATGCCACACTTCCTTATTTCCTTATTTGGTAAACAATTATTTACCAAAACAGTGTCAAACAGTGTTCAAACAGTGTCAAACAATGTTCAAACAGTGCCAAACAATGTACTCTACGGTAAAATTTACCCCTCAGTAACATTTTTTCCTTAATTCTTGACAAGTCAAACTGTGTCAAACAAATGGAAACGGAGGGAGTATAATTAATTGCAGTAATTTTCAATCATGGCAGTATTTTTCATACATGGCAGTAGTAACTCCTATTTCGGGAAGAAAACATAATAGTCCTATTTTGGAATTTCAAACCTCATTTACTCCTATATATTTAGGGTAATTTCCCAATTTAATTTTGGGGATTATATTCCGAGCCAAAAATGGTTCAATTTTAAGCAAGACTTGGTATTTGCTGATAGGCAAACGAAACCAACCTAAACAACCCATAATATTTTTTTGATTAATTAAGAAATAATGACTTATACGGTATATAACTAGAATAAAGATACTATCTCATAAAATTCTTCCCACTTTGACTTGCCACAAAGATTAAGAAAGTGGAATAAAGTGGAAATGTATAGTTGTGGTTGTGTAAAAAAAGGTGAAATGAATGCGAACCACACAAATTGTCCAAAAATGGTAAGTGGAGAGAATTTTTTGGGACGACCCAAAAAGAGAAGTGGGAAGAATTTTATGAGATGGAGGGAGTAATTCTTTTCAATTTTACACCATATATATACAGTGCCTATAAGGTAACATTATGCTAACAGTAAGCTCAGTCATATATATTTTGTTCAAAGGTTTTATTGAAGTTAGATTTTTATGAGAGATCTCATTAATGAATTATGATGCAAGGTTAAATTAAAATTGTTGGATTCAGGTAAGTGGATGGGTTCAAGAGTATGAAGGGCTGACATTTGCGACATTTAGAGGAGCTGGACATGATGTGCCTACTTTTAAACCGGCCGAGTCCCTCACCTTATTCTCCTCTTTCATTTCTGGGCGTCCCCTTCCGCTCCAGCGCTATTAATAAAATGAGTGGATCGATAACCAAAAGCAGAGTACGTGGAAGAGATGTTATAATAAGCATATTCGATCGAGTATATATATGAGAGAAAATAGAAATAAGAGGGATCGATGTGCTTTGAGTTTCTTCGTTTTTACGTAATAAAACATCTTCCAATCTTGTATGCATGCGTGTACGTTCTACTTCTTCTCTTTTGCTTTAATATCATACGTCATTAACGTTAACCGACCGTAAAATCTTTTGGGAATAAGATTCGGATGTTGCATGTTGTTATTGTTGTGGCTAAATGCATAAGAAACTTCTCAAAATCGATCATAAACTCATACCAAACAACGTATGATTGCCATGGAACCTTACAAGTTACACTTAGCACTAAACAATATACATATAGCATTAACTTATGTAGTAAATGATACCTAGTACTATCTATGATGCATGTTTTAGTATACATGATGATACGGAGTATTTGTTAATTCAATAACAATATTATTGAAACGGGAAATTAAAGTGAAGAAATACTAAAACCTTACAACCTGCGTTCTCTGAGCATGCAAGCTAAGTTAATGACATGCTCAACAACATGCATAATAATAAACTCATTAATTAATTAGTGAGCTAATTAATTAGTCATCCTGGCCGGCCTCTAGCACAATCTTGACACTTCCAATCTTCACAGCCTCACATCCTTTCCTTGGAACGATAGTCACCAACACACTCTCATCCTCATCTGCATCAACACCCAAATCTTCCAAAAGTTCATTTAGGGACAACCTCAGCTTTGTCTTGATGATCTTCTTGTCGTGCTTATGGTGACCGCCATGTGCAACGCTCACAAAACTTCCTGCAAATTCAGTGTGCATAGGCGTAGCACTCACAACCTCGTCTTCGTCGTTGATGAAGACATCAAACTTGACAAAGACATCCTTCTCTAACTCTATTCCTTCTATCAAAAGAATTTCTTCTTCTCCATCTTCATCATTACCATCGCCCTTATGCTTCTGGCTTCTCTTTTTTATCCTTACAGGCCTTTTCACCATTGCCTTCGCCACTTTCTCAAGTGTCCCTGGTTGCCAGATCGGCATGGTGGGCCCCTGGTCCGTCACCGCTGCACCCGAAAGCTTCTTTTCTGTCCTCAAAACCCTAGAGACACGTGGGGTCGGGCGACAGTTGATCCACGGGGTCTCCATGTCTTGAAATACGTATCCAAGATCTCTCGTGTCCACGCAATCTCGGACCTTGATCCGGACCATCTGCGCGTTTTCATCGTAAAAAACGAATGACGCGTCGAGCCAGTCCGGGTCAGAGAAATCTCGACGACACCCTCCTAAATTTTTCCAAACGCACCACATCCTATCGACGTTACAATGGTGGGCATAGAATAACATGTCTCTAGCCGCGGAGTAAAAGTTCCCCATATCCTCCGCTACGGGTTGTGTCCGGTCCCCAGTCCAGTCATGGATCGTGTTGTGTGGGATGTGCTCCAGGGAGCCCGCACCGGGGTTGTGCTCATCTCCCGCTCGGTACGGGCTCCCGTGGAACTTGCTGGTGGTCCGTCCTTGCGACACCATTGTACGGTACATCATAGTAAGATTATGAGACACAAGCTCTTCATTACTAAGCATACCTTTATCTGTCCCGTCCCAGTCCAAATCAACAATGTTTGGCGGCAGGTGTTTGGCGTCGCGCAAACGGTCGTAGAGCGGAGAGTTTGGGTCTTGGGTGTACATGGACGGCATCGTCATGCCGGCGGGGTGGTCCCAGTTCCAAAACGGCATCGCAAAAGTCGGGTCGTCGATAAGCTTGACCAATATTCTCTCGAAGAAGTACAAATAGCAGCGATGAAAGGGCAAAAAGATCCAGGAGCGATGAACACGAAAGTCTAGCTCAGGAAACCCAACTTGGTTATACGCGCCGTTGCAATAGGCACAGTGGATGTTGGCTTGTTGACGGAAGCTCCGGGGGTCGTCGTCGGGAAGTGCTTTCATGAGGTCAACGGCTCTGGTGAACTTTTCCACGTACGCCTCATCGTTAGCCGCCAAATGGGCCGCCGGTCTGACTCGCATGGTGGTGGGCCGACGTGGGAGCTTGAAGTCAACTATGTTTGCTTCCCCGCCTGTCAACGGGGGGCAACAGTTTAGGGACTGGTCAACGTTCTTGGGCAGTTGGACCGGGCCGCATTTCGATGCGCTGATGGGCTCCGCGAAGGCGAGTGGATTGGTTGTAGCCCCATATCCATATAGCCCTCCCAGACCAACCAACATGTTTCTCCTGTCAATCTTACACCCGCCGGCGTCAAGGTGGCGCTTTTCCTCTCCGGCGGCGTAACCGTTGCCTGCTACGACGTGCAGTCGACGACGAGTTTTCGGGGCAAAATGGGAATTATTTGGGGTGGAGGTGGTGAAGGAGAAAGAAACGCAGACCATTTTTTGCTAGTTTGGGGTTAATTTGGACAATTAATGTACGTAAGAGAATACTACTGGGTGTGGTTTATATAGGTAGAGACAATATAATGGGCTGTTTCATGTTTAGGGGTGACATACTACATACTCACATAATCACATGCATGTAATTTGAAGTGAGTCATTTGAAGTAGACAAGTATAAAGGGAAGATTTATAGAAATTAGACTTTGTGACTTACTCTAGCTACCTTGTATTTATATAATTAATTTTTTAATAATCTCACAAATTTTTTATGGATCCATCATTGTGGAAATACGTTTTGATATTTTTATTTCAAACAATGAGAAATGAGGAAGTGACACGATTATTATGAAAAGTGAATTTATGTGGTTGATACTTAATAATTTGAATTGATAAAATAAAAATAAAGTAAGAACGATTTAGAATCATACAAACATTTTCAAATTTAGTAAATAGTATGGGACAATCTTAGTGGACGAACCGAAAAGGAAAAATTGGACAATCTTAACGGGATGGATAAAGTATTACTTTGTACTTTACTAAATTATTTATTTCTGCTTAATATAAATTGGTCACTAATGAGGATCAAAACATACACAAAATTCAAAAGATTTAGACCTTTTCTTAACTAAATTACTCAAGTGAAGACAAGAAAATAGAAGCAAGCGCATCAAGCCCTTAAACGCAACTCAGGAAGATGAACCACTATTCTACAAGGTGGGATGGACATCACACCCTATGATCACAAGAAGTCAATCTAGATATCCACGAAATGAATCCGATTATTGCATTTACCCAGTAGATGACTCTCCACAAAAACTTGCTACAACTCTCGAGCGATACAAGTCTTCTCACTCGGAAGCTAAAATCTACCAACCCTATCTTCGAAAGGCAATTCAGTTTCATTACAAATACAACAGATCCATTTCAACTACAGTTGAGATACATTCGAAAAACTTCAACGGTTAAATTCCCTATTTTCCCCTACTATTTGCTTGTACTAGCTTTTCATAGCTCTTAACTCTTTTCAGAATACAACCCCAGCAAATACAACTCAATCACTTGAAATTATCCGACTCTAGTACGTACTCTGGCTTCATATCGTTTGAATAACGTATTTTGAATGAACTACTGTAATTTCTTATACAAATGAATGTGTAATTCTAATTGCCTTATTGATTTTGTAATTTCACCTAAGATATGATAGGAGGGATCATGTATGCACTTTTTTGGTGAATTCACACAATAGGAGCAAAACATGATACACTCTAAATGCAAAAATAAAAGTAGATGTTTAAAGTTCCCAAAATGTGAGTCTCATTTTGTGATTGGACAAAAATACTCTTTTAAGGGTTGCAACATGGTTCCTGTCGCCCATCACCTGAGCTCTATTGCCGCCAAAAATATGATGTCGTCAATAGATCGCGGCCACCGTACTGCCCCGTTCATATTAATTAATTATGTTAGAAGTAGAAAAGCAAAGTTTAATCATGTTTGAAGAACGTTAAACATTTATGCTTAATTTTAGTCCTGTTTTTTATGACAATTTCTTTTATTTGTCGTAGCGACCCAATTCTTTTACGGACACACCTAATTTAGTTGTGCAATTCTATACAAAGAGGCCATAACACATACGGAAATTATTGTGGTTACAAATCAGTTCACTCTCATCATCACATGTCAAATTAAACGATACAAATTACTCCAAATAGGACTAAAATTATGTCAAAAACTCAAAATAGAACTTACTATGTTTTTCTTTTCAAAATAGGACCATATTAGTCCTATTGGAAACATACCTATTTTTTCATTCCATTCTTACCCTTCCTTTAAATATTAGTTAATTAAATGTTTAATTCATAATAAATTCGAAAAAATTCAAAAATTCAAAGAAAAATAATTAAAAAATTTATAAAAAAATTATTAAATAAAAAATTATTTTTTTTTATTTTTAATTTTTTTAAAAAATTAATAAAAAATAGTAAAACTCCATAAAAAATTAAAAAAATATGGATGCCTTTCGCACTGCCTGTACTACCTCCCTGCACCACCATCTCCGGGCAGTGAAAAAAATGTCATTTTTCCTAAAAACTACCATTTTTTCTGAAAATGCCAAAAACATGGCATATTTCTCTTTGAGAATGCCAACATTTTCATTGTTTTCTGCCATAAATATGGCATTTGTAATGAACTTGGCATTTTTTTCCCTAGTGACTGGAGGTGGTGGTGTAGAGACGGCAGAGACGGCGGTGAATTTTATTTTATTTTTTTGAGTTTTTTATTTTAAAAAAAAAATATTTTTTGAAAAAAAAAATATAAATAAATTATTATTATCGAAATATTTTAGTATTTTTTACGAATTTTTATTATTTTTTGTTATTTTATTATGAATTAAAACATTTCACTAGCTATAAAGGTATATTTGTCCAAGACACACATAATTAGTCCAATGAAAACATAGTTTATTTTTTTGTTCTATTTGTGCAAAGTGAGTGACTTTTAGTCCTATTTTTGATAAATAACCCAATTGTTCTCGATTGGAAGTATTCGGATTCCCTATCATGAAACATGCCACATTTAAATTTACCTAGTTAATTTACTGGTCAATTTTAACGACTGCTTAGTCTTGAGTCATCTTACTTAACTGCCTCAAATTAAACCAAAAGTCAAAAGGTCAAAATAAATAACGGGTATTAGACTA